GAGCAGTTCTGCCGATTGGACGACCGATTTCACTACCCATGTAAGCTTGAGATTGGTTGAAATGAGAGCTCGATAGAGGTTTTTTGCGACTCGGGCGCGCTTCTGTTTTGCTGTGATAAAAGACGACATTTGGCACTTTCTTCTTTTTTGTTTGTGTTGATGAAGTGTAGTAACCATATGAGCGTGCGGATAGACGCGCAAAGACGGACGCCGAGATTATTAGCATAAGTATTGACCTGGCCTGGTACCTACACGCACCCTCGGTCGGCTCAATACTTGGTGACACAACCCTTACTCCGGCGCATATCTCGCTACACTCAGTAGTGTTTGGCGTGTGGAAAACCTGTCGACCCGGGTATCCAATACTATATAAATGCACATGGCAATTGATAGCATGGCGTTTGCGTGCTATGTTATATACCAGGAAAAGTTCTCTTATTTGTACGTCGTTGGTGAAGTCCTCGTTATAAATAAGGACGAGTTCCGCAACCGGCATTTTTTCGGTATCGGAAGCGGCGCGAGTCAATTACACACGAATGAAAAGTCGAGATTTTGTATGGCGCAGACTTAACCGTCTATAAATTAAGTATGTGGTAACCAGGCGCAGATGCGAAGATTATAGAATTGTTTACATTACCGGCGACCGCTGTGCGTAGCCGTGTTAATGTCGAATTCTCACACCCCGACCAGGCTGTGTGAACTATACGTCAACTGACAAACCCTAGTCATTAAACTAACCTATGCAATCCGGTTCTCTTGATGCTAGTCGAACTAGATCTTGCAGTGCAAGCGCCTTGCATGCTTGCAGTGCCGACAGTCATAAACACTCAATGATGTACAGTACAGTCTTGTCGCGGTATTACTTTAAGTATGCATGAGTGACGGGAAAGTTGTAAGCTTGGCAATAGTTTGTATGTGTAACGGCAGCTTGCTGTATAACTGATCCATGAGACTGATATAGCTAAGGTTAGTAACAGTAAGTGTACTGGGGACCGTACATTGAAGCCCACTATTACAAGTAAATGTCATAATGGCTGCATAGTATATACAGAAAGGTGAAATATAACCTGCATGAGCACTGAATGTTTCCAGATTATATTTATATACCAGGTTATTTTTATACTGCCTATAGCCTAGAGTCCTAAACATATACATACAAACCGCTATAATAGAACTGGGACTCCGCTCCAACCGATCTGTATGTATGTGCAACGCATTGTATGTGTTTGTAGCAATCGTCTGATGAGTAGCAAATAGTATATTATAGCATGGACGTTCGTCAACCGCTTAGCTTAGTGCAGCTCGATGGTAATCGAGGTGGGAGCGAGTCCCAGTCTATATATTAGAGTTTTGTCTGCAGCCATTTCCATTACTGGGCAAGGTTCGGCGAACGCGAGAATTTTACGTCAGTCTTGTCGGATGTCTCGCATTCAACACAGCTCGTAGAGAGAAAAAGGAGAGAAATCTGATGTTTTTTAGGCTGCAATCTGCAACATTAGTTAGACTGCAGCGCTCCTGTAGAATCGCAATGATCGTCCGTGCGTCCGCTCCGTCAACAGTTGGGCACAAATCTTAACCGCGTCGACGTACGGTGCAACGATATTCGGACATGGGGGGTAATCGCGAAAACGAGTTGGGAAATGTCGAAAGCTGGGGTCAAAGGTCATAAGGTCAGAGAGTGTATAAAGAAGGGGGAACATTGCACTCCTTAATTAAGGTATAGGGAGGAAATGCAGAATTGCGGCACAAATCTAAAGCGGCTCGACCTACGGCTCGTGATAGTCCGGTGTATAGCATCATGGTAGGAAAAATTTATCATTGTTGCCGAAATTGAGGGACAGCAGGGCAGATTTTAGACATTTCTCTGCAAAGCGAACATGGTCTGACGAGGGCGATTGAAAAACTTTTGTTTCAGCGTGAACCTACCCGATTTTTATGGCTTTATTGAAAGGGACGCATGACAATGTGCATTCCCCACTGACATTGTGAAGAAGTAAGTTGTCTGATAACTTTTTTGACCCTCAAACGAGGAGGGGTTAAACATGGATTGTGTTGACTTGTTAACGATAAGGAGTGAACTGCTTATTATATTAGAGGCGCCCCTCCCCCCACCCTCAGCTCTTTCCGCCCTCCCCACACCCCCTCACCCCCCCGCCCCTTCCCCACGCTCCCCACCCTCGCCCCCACCCTGCCCCTACCCTCCAAACTGCGTTAGTGGGGCGTGTTCTCTAACAATGATGTGTAAGCAACTGCGTGTCTGCATATCTGCGCCTAACAAACCTCGTGGTAGCTACGCACACTGAAAATTTTACGTTTATAATCGAGAAGGCAATACAGACCTGAACACAAAGAAATTTGAAAAAGCCCAGACCTCTACGGCTCTTGTTATAACAAGTGAAGCATTTCTGTTCGCAATCCAACAAAAATGAATACTACCCATCTGGTCCGTCCCCACTAAAATGTGCGGACTGTTCGCGTGCAGCACTAATGTATAACCAATGACGCGTACGGCCAATTCATTCGGCGCTACGATCCATAGCTGCCAGCGCTGCATAAGCTGTCGTAGGACGTTCCCAGCAGCAAGATCTGGCGCAAAATATAAGCAGCTTACGGATCAACATCTCCTTTCGGAACGAGACGCTTCTCTAGTATACCCGTTCATCTGTCTGTCAAATTATTTGGCTCAGTTAAAACGTGTAGAATTAACGCTTCTAAAAAAATTTTCAGTGTCCTTTCTTCCCGGAAGCTCTTTGTATTAAGACTTTATACCAAATCCAGCTTTCCCAGTGGCCCTAAAAGTCCTAAAAATTCCTCAAAATTTTGAGCTCGCCTAAAATTCTAAAAAAAACTTTAAAAATGTATGGCAATTCCTAAAAAAGGGCTTAAAAGTTTTGATTAAACAATTCCTAAAAAAAAAATATTGGTGTATGAGATGTAGTGAAACTTTTGGTTGTAATTATGTCTAATGCAGGGTCTCCAACCATTCCTCATTCTGCAGAATCTTGACGATTTCTAGCTAAATTTCCGCATTCTGCGAGCGCTATAAGGTTATATATTATTTCAGTGCATTGGATAAGCCAGAAAGTGATGCACTGATTGTTCGCATTTTCCTTTTTTGAACACATTGTTTTTTTCAGGCATTTTGTATTTGGGCATGTCTACGGTAAATGGAAGCAGCCTAAGATCAGACAGGCGCTGTCTGCAAAGGTGTCGCAATAGTTTTGTCTGCTAATTAGACAAAGCGGTGTAGAGGTTGAGTCTAGGTTTGAGATTAGGTGCTTATCAAGACATGAGAAATACCTGGCGGCCACAGTATGGCCTCAATTGCAGGCAAAAAATGCTTAAAATATTTCAAAATTAATTCCTGGGTGGTATGGCCCTAACCGCTGCTAGGCAGCTGGCATGCCTACGGCACAGCGGCCTGCCTGCGGGCAGCCAAGGTACATTTTGCCACCTTATCAATTTCTGAATACGCCACTAGTTACTGATCACCCGCGGGAAAGGCATTCCGCATTCTGCATGTTCCAGAGGGCCTTGAGACCCTGCGAATCGGATGGTAATCTAAGTGGTATCGTTTGTATAGCAGAGTAAGTAATTGTGTACTCTCAGTCTACAGTGATATCCCTAAGCTTTCAGTAAAGGTATAGTACAAGACATGCCTAAATTTGCACTGCAACATGAAGGACTTGAGATAGGAATAGCTGGTAGAAGCGGACACATACCACATAGAAGCCTGTACTGTAAGTAAACGTTGATAAAAATTAATGAAGAGGTAAAAAGTGACTTATTTTATTCTAAAATGGTTCGATTCATCCCTAAACAATTCCCTAAAATAGGCCCTAAAAACACTTTAATGGTCTTCCTAAAATCAGCCTGAAAGATTTGTCCTAAGAACTCGCCTCGGAAAGCCTGAAATCCGAACTGCTGCCGTCTGTGTATCCATGTTCGCACCCATAACATTCTGGCTCTAGCAGCGTTACGTCGCCTTCGACGACGTAAAATTAACAAAATAACGAGTAAGGTGCTCTGTTTTATTTATGCAGGTTTGAAACGCGCGAATTTTGAAAAAGTCAAAATGATCGATCTCACAATATTTATCCTGATTTGAAGTTGGTAACGGCAGCTGAAACTGATACTGATACTAGTACAGTTGTTTAACTGACGTTTTTTTTGTTATTTATGACTTTTTTTTTTTTTTCTTTTTATTTTTTAAGAATTTTCCGCCTTCCTTTGTTTTATTCGGTGTATCTTTTCTTCCCCAATAATTTTAATTTTTTAGTATTTATTATTCTTTTTTTGTTTTTTGATGTTTTATTTTTTTATTTGTTATGGTTTTATTTTTTATTTTTATTTCGGATATTTATTTTTGTAGATTTTTTTTTTTTTATTACTTATTTTTTTTACTTACACGCTAGAGCCTAGGGTATGATCAGCCAAACGCAAGTACAATGAAACAGAGGCATTGTGGTAATTTACCGCATAGGTCACAATAACGGAAGAGCTTATTCAGGCAGCAACTTATGAGTGCAATTGTGTCCCTATGTGTTTATTGCATCCTAGCTCATATGATGAACGTTCAATATAATTATTAGAGATGCTGGCTTAATTCGAAGGTTTCTATGTGGTTTACTATGCGTAGAATCCAGCACAAAATCACGCAAGAACCTGCTCAAAAATTTACGAACATGTCTAATGGAATGGGGAATAGCGCTATTTCCAACACTCGTGAGACTGAGTTTGCACGGTCTACCTTCGACACAACGCCCCTAATACAATTAAGCTAAAGTGTAATATTTTGGTCATTTATAAGTAGACGTGTGAATCTCATTGATGCTCATAATGAATATATAACTTAACATGTCTCTTCTGTTCAAATCAACCAGAAACAATCAAAGGATTCTAATTAGGTACTTAAAGAGAGAAGACATACATGTTGATATTGCCGTCGACAACCTGGCAGCACGCAGATTCTTCAGAATGACCTGGTTCACATAATAAAAGTTCTACAATGAGTGAGGAATACTCTATTGATGGCAACACTTAGGTATCGGGCCACATTAAATAATATGTAATTCTATTAATGTACTCTAGCAAACCTGTAATAATTTCTCTCTTAACGAAATCAAATGATCGCTAGGCAAACTATTTCGTAACGAAGAAACCAAGATAGATTAACCACATAGAAAACGAAAAAAAGAGCAGTTGTCGCCAACTATCATGTATCCCCCGTGATCTAGATATGAATAGATATATCTCTGTAAGGACGTAGTAAAGGCCCAGGTAAACGCTTAAACTAAGTCAAACAAAAGACACAAAGGTTTGTTACAGCAACTGTGTGAGCCTCAGATGTGGGCAAGTATATGGAATACTGGTTACCACTAGGACGGCGCGAAGAGGAAATCGTCCAAGTCGACGGTGAAGGGTCAAAACACTAGAAGGTCAAGGGCAGCTGCTGGTTTGGTATGCGACCAGCGACCTTCTCCCCAAGATGCTGTAATGCATACCAAGTTTGGTCGCGTACTAGGTCAATATAAGGTGCTGATCCCGTCCTAAGAGAAAGGAAGAGAAATAATGACTAAAGGCGTGAAGTCCAAAGGTCCACCAGTGACCTGGTGAGGAGCCACAGTTTTTACCACGGATCAATCGCGCATGTCAAACTTAAAGAATTTTGGCCCCACTGAAGTGCTATATGGATAAAGCAGAAAAAGCGCCAATCAATAAAAATTTTCGGTGTGGGCGCGGCAGTCTATTTCGAGAGTGGCCATGGTAAATCAACATTTTTGTGGAAATATTGTAGTAACATGTAACTTGTGCTGTTTATTACCCGATTGTCATGGAATTTGCACATCAGGGCGATATAAACGATGTTTCTAATATCATATAATGTATATATGTTACCTTTGATGACGAATCAATAAAAATTAATATAAATTTAAATACAAAGATTTTTAATACAAAATTATTAATTTAAATTTTAAAGATTTTCTAATTTTTTAATACACCCAAAATTTTAATACACAAATATGAACAAAATTTTTCATGACAATCGGGTAAAAAGTGCAGAAGTATACAGGTTCCTAGAATATTTCGACAAAAATGTTGTACCATCATGGCAACGATGACTCCGCCGCACACGCAAAAAACGATAGGTGTCTTCGCTTTACGATAACGCACCTTCATTCGAATATATGAAGATGATCCGAGAAGAACTGCAGCTGGTAGAGCGTTCACAAGGAAATCTCTACGGCGGCGGCGCGAACTTCGTTCGGGGGATACAATGAATGCAAATACATGACAAATTACAATTATATTGACATTATATTAAGTAAAACCTGTTTCTAGTGACAAATACATCGAAACAAGGTAACGTGGGTAAAAACGCCCACTTGACTTGTTTTCACTGCTAGTAAAAAATGACAAGATCTATGAATTATTAAGTGGAATATATTTATAATAAGTACAATGTATATAAATATTAATAATAAAAAGAATTAAATTCATTAACATATTTTAAGGGTACATAGGTGCTGTTGAAAAGAATGAGAAAAATAAAGTTTAAAAAAATGACCGTCAAAGGTTTAGCCTAATCACTTAAAATTATTTTATTTTAAAACGGTTTTATTTTTTATTATTCTTTAGTTCCCTGGTTCCCAACCGGGGGTACTACTACCCCCTGGGGGTACCAGCGAACACCACAGGGGGTACCTGTGAAGCCTCTTAGACAATTAAAAAAAAGTAGTGCTATAGAATAATCAGCGGGTGATTCAGGCATCTCTATCGACAGTGCCAACAAATCATGGTTTTCGGTCCAGGCAAGCAAGCGACAGAGTGGTACCCTCCGCGTGCCAGCGCAGCAGCAGCAGCGAGGCCCACGCAGCAGCACGGGCCGCGGGGAGGAGGGGGAGGGACCCTAAATGTGCCAGTGCAGCAGCAGCAGGGCCCACGCAGCATGGGCCAGAGGGAGGAGGGGGAGGAACCCTACATGTACCAGCGCAGCAGTAAACATACATCCCCGCAGCAGGAGCGCGGTAGGGTTACCCCTCTGTGCGTCAGGGCAGTAGCAGCCGAACCTCGCTCGGCACCGCTAAACTAAAACTAAAACTAAAACTAAAGTGAAACTGTTAACAGTCACTGGTTATAATATGAAACCTCATTGAACCGCACGGAGGATGTGGTAAGCGTCTTCCTATCTTCGATACGGACCAATCTAAGTGGTCTGATTGAATACTGAGCGCTCTCGGATTATCATTCAGTTTGGAGCACAATGCCGCCTAAAAAGCGTAAATACAATGATGATTATGTCAAGCTAGGATTTACATGTGTAACTGGCAGTGATGGTGTTGAGAAGCCACAATGTTTCTTGTGTGGAAAAACATTTTGTAATGATTATATGAAGCCGACAGGAATGAAGTCGCATCTCCAGACCGACCACCCTCTTCGCGTCAATGATTCGGCTGATCAGTTTCGTCAGAAGAAGGCAAGATTCGCGACTGCCGGTAAGCTAACGACGGGCCACAGGTTCGTGCCAACCCAAAAGCCGGCCCTTAAAGCGTCTTTTCGTTTCGAGTGAAAAAACCTCACACAATCGGGGAAACACTGATCAAGCCATGCGCCCTGGAAATGGTCCAACTCATGTGCGGCGAGCAGCATCGCAAAGCTCTTGAAACCATCCCACTGTCGGATAATGTCATCAAACGCCGCATCGATGACATAGCGAACGACATACTCGACCAGGTGGTTTCAGAAATCAAAGCCAGTTCGTACAAAATAAGTATGCAATTGGACGAGTCTACAGACTGCGCTCAATGTAGCCAGTTGCTAGTATTTGTGCGATATATGCATGAATGTGACATAAAGGAAGAATTCTTTTTCGAGAACCCCTCGTCACCACCACAAAAGCAACGGATGTTCTGGATCTGGTTACCAGATTCATGGACAAGCACAATATTCCAATGGATAAGCTGGGATCTATGTGCACTGGCGATGCGCCAGCGATGCTTGGCAATAAGTCGGGATTTGTGCGTTGGTCAAATGGTTGGTACCGGACATAACCGTTACCCACTGTGTCTTACACCGCCATGCCCTTGCATCCAAGTCTACCACAGGATTTCAAGGACATTATGACGAACGTAGTCTCGGTTGTGAATTTCATACGTAGTCGAGCTTCGAACCACAGACTATTCCTAGCCCTTTGCAAAGAGATGGGGAGCGAGCACGAAGTTCTGCTCTATCACACCGAGGTGCGATGGTTATCCCGGGGACGTGTCTTCACAAGAGTATACGAACTTTGAAAATACATTGAATTGTTTTTGCGCGACAAAGGTAATATGCTGCATGAAAAATTAAGCGATAATGACTTTATTACCTCACTGGCCTATATGTCTGACGTATTAACATTGCTCAATGAGCTCAATACTTCGCTTTAAGGCCGTCAAGTTACACTTATCGACGCGCAAGAGAAGATAGCGAGCTTCAAACAAAAACTACAGCTGTTTGGAGGAAATGGACGATGGACAGCTATCAGATTCTGTATCCTCATCAATCAGTAGCCACCTTGAAAGTCTGGCCAATTCATTCGATGGATATTTTCAAGATCCCGTCGAAGAGAAATCTGCTGTCCGAAACTGGATCCGAAATCCGTTCCTCTGCGATTTGGACTCCTCTATTGATGATCAGAATGTGTTCAAAGAGGACATCATCGACATTATTCCTAAACAGCCACTGAAGCGCCTCCTAGAAACAACGTCAGTAACTGAATTTTGGTGCAGTCAGCAGATACGCGAGGCCTACCCGGCTATGGCTCGTGAAGCTATTTCCGTTCTAGTTACATTTGTAACCAGCTACCTGTGTGAAGCAGGCTTTTCAGCGATGGTAATTACAATCAAGACAAAAGCCCGTAACCGCCTTGACATCCGCAGAGACATGAGAGTCAGTCTGTCAAAAACTGAACCGCGGTTCAAAAAGTTAGTTTCTGCCATGCAGCAGCAGTATTCTCATTGAACTGTCGTTTAGTGCACAGTGCGCTTGCTTGGAAAAATTTGCTGTGCGACTGCATTAATAAAACATAAACATGATGTCAAAATATTCATGACAATACATCAGTGTTGGTTCTTCATTTTGCTTATGGTGGGCGAAGGGCTACCAGGAGATCACGTAAAAAAAATTAGGGGTACGGGGAGTCCAAAAGGTTGGGTACCACTGCTTTAGTTGATATATATTAACAAGGGTTAATTACATAATTATAAACAGGGTGCAAAATTAACTGGAGTCCGGAGTCAAATACTCCCTGATTTACTGTCGGACTCCCTGATTTGACATATGCAGGAGTCCGTGTGACTCCCTGAAAATTCTGCCATACTAACTAGTTCGTTCCGGAGCACGGCCTCGTGGAATTACCGTATTTTTTCAGCTAATGTCCAAAGAAAATTTGACAGGCGTGCAACCGCATGAATCTTAAAAATAAGCACATGCGTTAATGTTAATATCTTAAATTTTGAACCTCAGACTCCCTCTTTTTGAGGGCAGGGACAGTCCAGTCCGTTGGACTCCTGTGTTCAAAAGTTATTAACTGTGAAAGTTAGCTGTGATTAAAATATTAAAATCAATTTTAATATTTGCTTAATAATATTTTTTTGAGTGGGCGTTTTTACCCCGGGCAAAATCAAGGGCCTCGGGGTAAAAACGCCCAGTACCATCTTTAACACCAAACTCTATTTCAGCCTCATTTATCAAACCTCAATATTAGAACTTCATACAGCTATATATTTTGTGTGTGTGAGTAAGTATTAGCTATTAGAAGCTTACCACATATATTAATCAATGTATTTCTTATATTTTGTTATTCAGGTTTGATCAACTAGATTAAAGTTCATTTAAAATTGGTTGCAAATTTTATTGTGACGTATGATTGAATAATTTCACCGGATCTCTATAGTTCACATGATAATAATAAGGGTTATTTCAGTTAGATCCAAATTATAACTTAGGTCTGATGTTTCAAAGCGAGCAATGAAGTTTGCTGTTCTAAACTCGCTTCAGAAAAGA